AAATCAGAATTTTTATAAAAGTATACACATAGATTCTTTAGTGTGAAACGTTCTATCAGTTTTATTTAAATACTTTTTTATCTGGTTGAAATAGAATATTCTTTTTTTTAACTAAATATTCTTATAAATTTGCAATAAAACTGTAAAATCAGAATTTATAAAAGTAACACATAGATTCTTTAGTGTGAAACGTTTTATCAGTTTTATTAAATAACTTTTTATCTGGTTGAAATAGAATATTCTTTTTTTTAACTAAATAATTCTTAATAAAATTTGCAATAAAACTGTAAAATCAGAATTTTTATAAAAGTATACACATAGATTCTTTAGTGTGAAACGTTCTATCAGTTTTATTTAAATAACTTTTTATCTGGTTGAAATAGAATATTCTTTTTTTTAACTAAATAATTCTTAATAAAATTCGCAATAAAACTGTATAATTAGATTTTTTTTATAATGTTTCACTAATAATTTATTTTAAAAATTTTCTTGGCAAATACTTTTTGTGAAAATGTTTAAAACATTTTTCAAATTTATTCTAATATTTTTTTATCTGATTAAACTAGAATATTCATTTTTTTTAAACAAAAAAATCTGAATAAAATTTATAATAAAACTGTATAATTAGATTTTAGGTAGAACATTTAAACATTCTTGATAAAAAAAATCAGAACTTGATAAAAATCTTTTTTTCTACTAAATATACATAATTTTATATACATTGTAATTATGCAGTTTTATTGCAAATTTTATCAAGATTTATTATTTAGTTAATAAAAGAATATTAATATTTTAATCAGATTAAGTTATTAGAATAAAACTGCAAAAGAGTTTGAACATTTTAACAAAGAACTTGATAAAAGAAAATATTTTTTTCCACTAAAGAAAAAGATTTTGAATGCAACATTCTAGAAAAATGTGAACTATGCAGTTTTATTACAAATTTTATTAAGATTTTTTTGTTTAAAAAAATGAATATTCTAGTTTAACCAGATAAAAAGTTATGAGAATAAAACTGTAAGAATGTTTAAACAAAAAACGCATTTTAAAAAGTAAAATTATTACTTTGGTTATAAAAAAATTATTGGTTTATTAAAAGAATTCTATTTTAACCGGATACAAAGATATTAGAATAAAAAAAGCTGCAAAAGTATTTAAACATTTAAACAAAAGAACTTGATAAAAGTCTTGTAATAAATTATTAGTGTGACATTCTATTAAAATTCTAAATTATACAGTTTTTTTTGCAAATTTTATCAAAATTTATTTGGAAAAAGAAAGAATATTCTATTTTGATTAGAAAAAAAATGTTACAATAAAACTGCAAGAATGTTTAAACTTTTTAACAAATAACTTGATAAAAATATTTTTTTCTACTAAATATGCATAATTTTATATACATTGTAATTATGCATTTTTATTGAAAATTTTATCAGGAATCATTTGGTAAAAGGAAAGAATTTTCTATTTTAATCAGATAAAAAGTTATTAGAATAAAATTGATAGAATGTTCCACACTTTTCTGCAAAAATGTTTAAACAAAAAACTGACTAAAAATCGTTTATTCGGCTAAATTAATTATTGGATTTTAAATTATAAAATGCAAAGTAAAATTAATACTTTACTTGGTTTTGAAAAAAATCCTGGTTAATTACAATTTAGGGTTAATTAAATTTATTTGGTTGAGAGAAGAATATTCTATTTTAACCAAATAAAAAGTTATTTAAATAAAACTGAAAAAGTGTTTCAACACTTCCATAAAGAATTTGCCAATGAAATCTTTAAATTAAATTAATAGCACAATATTTTATACAAATTCAAATTATACAATTTTATTGCAAATTTTATTTAGATTTATTTGGTTAAACAAATAATATTAACATTTTAACCAGATAAAAAGATATTAGAATAAAATTGCAAAAGTGTTTAAACGTTTCAACAAATAACTTGATAACAATCTTTTTTCTACTAAAAAAGATTCTATATGTATAATTCTATATAAATTGTTATTATGCAATTTATTTGCAAATTTTATTCAAATTTATTTACTTAAGAAAAGAATATTAATATTTTAACCAGATAAAGAGTTATGAGAATGAAACTGCAAGAAAGTTTTTAAACAAAAAACTAAGTAAAAATCGTTTGGTTTAAATTAGAAATTAGTATTGATTACAAATAAGATACAAAACACAAAGTAAATCTATTACTTTATAAAATCCTGGGACTTAGTAAGCATTTTAACAATTTCCAAGACGAATACAAGTTGTATTTAACAAATTTTAGTAATATTTACTATCATAGACATGCAAAAACATTAACAAACGTTAATACATTACCATTTCACATCATTAAATAGAAAAGTAGTCCATTAATTATTATCAATGGTATATTATGAATTAAAAATGTAATTAATGGATTACGATAAATTTATTTCAAAGTATCATTTATCCCTCCCCTGCATTTTTTGTATATAGATAGAATTTCATTGTTATTACATAGTTTATGTATTTGTTTTGATTTAATATGAATTTTTTGTTATTATATTTTTTATAGTAGAGCCTCGTGCTTTATTTAGTTAGCATAAGTAAGTATATATGACTATGTAACAAGGGACTATATATATAAATTTTTATGTTTAAGTTTTGTTTTCGGCGATTAAGTATTTTGTTTGATATGTTTATAACCGTGTACATATATTATTATTAGTCATGAACAAATTTTAGTCTTGTGAGCCTAATCTTAAATATTGAATAAGAATTAAGAATAGAGTTATGTATATATACATTTGAATGTACATTTTTTTTGTGACGAGCAATGCCATTGTGATTTGGATAGAAATTGTTGGCGAGGAGTGAAACTTTGTAAAGGAAATAGAGGGTTTTATATATATATATATATATATATATATATATATATATATAATAATTTATATCATTGTCTACCATTTGGTAGTGTCCCTGTCTATTTTTCTTAAGAAGTTTTACTTAAAAAAATATATAAAAAAAAATAGAAAACATAGAAAATGCATCTCCGTTGAAGGCGATGGACAAAAAATTATACTTCACATTGAGACGATCTCGATACTTATTGGTCTTTTATATTATTGAGTCACAATGGAAGTTCTCTTTTCAAAACTGAAAGCATTTAACGTTTATGTGTGTATTTTTTTACTGAAGAATTTATTTAATTAATTAATGGCCATTGTAATAATAAAATTGAATGAAATTAATTACAAAAACTTAATAAAATGCTGACCTCACGGACCTCTGATAGAAGTGCATTAGCAGAAGATGTATATATTTATTTTATTAAGCTTAAAATATGATCATGAACTGTTGATATTAATATTAATTTGCTAAATTTATATATATTTACATAACTACATACTGAAGAAGAAAAATAATAAAAAAAAACTAGAGTAACAATTTATTATAACATTGTTTTATAATTATTTACTTAAAAAAATATAAATATACAAAAAAATAAAAAATAAATGAAATACAATACAAGAAAATGTCCTGAAGATTGTTATTTTTATTTCATTATTATTATTAATAATGATGATGAATTTATGAATTATATTTTTGTGTTAAATTTTATAATGGAATATTTTTTATGTTAAGTTCCTTGTTAATGTGAATTCATGTATTATTTGGACTTATAAATAATTAAACTAAATTGCATTTGTTTTATTATCTATTATGTATATAT